TTTGAATTACATGATTTCCATTTTGGTCTTCAACAAATTCAACAATATGTCCTTTAATTTCTTCAGCAATAATCCCTAATTCTTCTCCACTAATAAATTCACAGGCTTTTTGAATAACACGACAACCGTATGTGTGAAGAGATAATTCAACAACATGTCCTTTAATCATTTCCATAAATTGATGTTTATGTTCAATAGTACCATATTCAATTAATTTTTGAATGACATAATTCCCAAATAAATCAGTCATTAATTCAAATGAGTCTTTAATAATAAATTCAAATAATTCTTCTATTTCATTTGGTTGTGCTGTGTCTAAAAATTGTTGAATTCTTCTACTTCCTTGTTGATCCTTACATAGATCAGCTACAGTATGAGATTTAGGCATTACAGTTGATAAAATATTTGATTGTTTAGGGCTTTTATAGTATTTACCTTGAATGTTTGGAATTGGTTTTTTATATGCTGGAGGAGTATTAATTAATGTTTGAACTCGTGGAGATGCACGTAAATTACAAACTCCAGGTGAATGACTTTCAATTGGAATAGTTGTTGTTTTAGTACTTGGTGAATTTATTGCTTTAATTGAAGGAGAATTATTCCATTGGTCAAATGACTGAGTTAAAAATGAATAACTTGCTGATTCTGGTGTGATGAATGGTGCTAAAAAATCATTTTGCATAGGAACAGAAAATGCACGTTCAAAATGATTTCCAATATCTTCTGGTTTACCGTTTAGTGCATCATTTCCTGGTGCATCAATTTCATCTCCTGGCATTCCAAAATACAATGAAGAATCAAGTCCATCCTTACCAAAGTCATCTTCATCATCCAAAAGTCTTGATAATAATGAATTTGTGCTCTGTTGCATTCAATGAAATTTTTATTTTTTTAGTTTTTTTTTATTTTACTTATTTTTTTGTTATAAAAAATTGTTAATAAAAATTTGTTAGTAGAATTAATGAATAAAAAAAACAGTATCAATAAACTTTATTAAAATAATTCTACAACTTCTTATTTTAAAATTTATAAAAATAATTTGTATGTATTAACCTTTATTAAGAATAGTGAAGAATGTCTTCAAATATTTGTTGTTTATACTTTAAAACTAGAGAAAAAGAAAGTTGTTATAAGAAAAACTAAAAAATCCTTTAAATAATTATATTATTTGAAATAACTTGAAATAAAGAATTTTTGTTTACAAACAAATAAAGATAGAACCTAAACATAATTAAATATTGTTTTAAAAAGGATAAAAATTTGAATTGTAAAAAGGGACAAACTAATGACTATAAGTGAAATAAGGAAATTTAAAAATAATTAGATTCATAACTGTTTCTTTTTAAAAATATTCCAATAAAAAGAATATTTTTGAAATTTCTATTTTTGTTAATAGATTCTTATCTCTGCGATTTTTTTCTCGCACAGATGTTCTTAAAATAGTAGATGTAAAAAAAATTTATTTTTTATTTAACAGAGTATTGAAGTTTATAATCAAAATAAAAACTTATTATTACATCTTTGCTTAATTTCATTAAAGATGTGATTAAACTTAGAAATAGACGATTGATACATTATTGATAGATAAACCCAAAAGAAGTAAAAAAAAAAAGAATTATTAAATCAAAGTCAAATATTTTGTCTGACTGTCTATAAATTAAAATTGAAATCTAATACATTTAAATATTAAAAATAAAAATTATAAGAAAATGATAATATTTGATTTTAATGAATTTTACTCTATTTTTGTATTTAAAAGGAAATTTTTTATTATGAATTGAAGAATAAAAATGGAATAACAATAATGTTATTCTTAAATAAACGATATAAATAAAATTTATTTTATAATTCCCTTTGAAATAATAATGTATTGTTATGAGAATTAACTTTTTTACACAAAAGAATAATGTATATTACATTGGAACAATTTTTATTATTTATATTTATTTAAAAATAAAGATAAACTAACTTTTCTATAAACAATTAGTTTTATAAATAATGCGAAGTAATATATATTCCTCTTTCTAATAAACATTATCATTTAAAAGTATAAAACAAAATAAATACTTATTGTATATTATAAACCTTTTACAATAATTTTAAAGAAAAAAAATCAAACTATATACAAAAGGAATCAAAATAAGTTAATTTATCTTCTGTATTCTTGAAAAACAAATTTAATAAATTTTGCTATTCAATCAAAACATTCAAATTTACATATCAATTTGAATACTCAAAAATTTATTGTGTAGATGGTACAGCCTCATCCCAAGCACCGCTAACTTCACTGCAAAAATAAATATCTTTATAATTCTTCTATTTTAAAGAATGAAGAAATTAAACAAACGTTTTTAATGACTGGATTTTTAACCAAAATTTAGGTCCTACATAAGTACCAAGAGAAACACAGAATAAATAAACTATTGAAACCCAAACTGAAAGCATAAAACAGAAACAAAATGTTGCAATAAAAAGAAGAATGGAATACAAAAAATACATATTTTTAGATTTTTTCTAAAGTATTAGAGAAATATGACATTATAAAATAAAGATTTAATATTTTAACAAACTAATAGATAATGTCTAAATAATGGGTTAAATTCAAATAATATTATAGACAAACTAATTAATGGAAATACCATCGCATTCTTTGGTAGTATAGATGCTAATACAATAGATGCTAATAACACCGCATTATATGATAAAACTCCATTAATTTCATCAACATAATTATTAATATATCCATAGTCAAAGAAACAAATATGAATAATAAATAATACTGTTGATAATATATAAATACTATCAGGATAATAACCTGTTGTTATTGTTGATATTACTGGAACTAATCCCCACACTGTCCCAAATATAATAATTGATCTCCATCCACAAAACACTGTTGGTGATATTTTTAATGGAATGCATGATAAGAAACACATAGATAGTAAAATAATATCAGCTACATAAACTCCTCTAACTGGAAGCATTTCATGTGCAGTAAGAAGAAAGATACATATATACATAATTACTGTTGATATTTGTTGTGATAATGCCAATGACTCTCTTACAATGTCTTTTAGTGGCAACACATCTAAATGATAATTCACTCGCATACCCCCTAAAAACCAATCTTCAATATAATTATCAGGAAATGGTTGTTCTGTATGAAGGTATTTATTCATATAATATGGTGATACTTCTGGTGTAGGGGAGTTAGTTTGGAAAGAATTCATTTGTTTAATATTTTTAAGTTACTTTTTCCTCAATAAAAAAAAACACAAAAGGGTTAAAAAAACTTATTTTCTTTTTTTGTTATATTTTCAAAAAATATATCAATAACAAAAAAGTAACATATTAATGTAAATCTTCTTTTATTGTTCTTTGTTTATATATTCCCTTTTAGTTAATTAATAATCTCTTATCTCTATAACCTTATTTACTTTAGTTTTATCAGTAAGTTACTTATATTTATTAAGCCAATAGCTCATTTATTATTCTTATGAAGAATAATAATTATTATTATAAATATTGTTGTTTGTCTTAAACAATTCTATTTTAAATATTCATTACTAGTCCATCTTAACAAAGAAATTTAGTTGAATAAATTCAAAACTTTTACTTGACGACTTGTTGTTTATTATTTGCTATTTTTTAAGGAATAGGCAAAATGCCTGTGTTTATTCAAAATTTACTTAGAGTTGATAGTAACGCATTGGGACATACACTTGCATAATATGTATGAATATTAACCGAGTAATAGAGATTAAATAGACATAAAAGAATAATAAATTATAGAACTTGAAAATATAAAACCTAAAAAGAAATAATTAAAAGAAATAACCATGGATAATGAAAAGTTACCTGAAATTGAATCAAAGAATGTTAGAGAAGTATATGAAATTATAGCCCAACATTTTTCACAAACAAGATACAAGGGATGGCCTAAAGTAGAAGAGTTTCTTAATGGACTAGAAAATCACTCAATAGTATATGATATTGGAAGTGGAAATGGGAAATATCATAATATTAATCCTCATATTACTGTGATAGGATTTGACCCTTGTCATAATTTGTTAATGGAAGCTGTCCATAATCAAAAGAGTCAAAATGTACAGGCTGATGGGTTACGTGTTCCAGTAAAATCGAATTCTGGAGATGCAGCAATTAGCATTGCCGTTGTTCATCATTTTTCTACTTTTGAAAGAAGAGTTTCAGCAATTCAAGAAATTATAAGAACAATTAAAGTTGGTGGAAGAGCTTTAATTACTGTTTGGGCAAAAGAACAGAAAAAATTTGAAAATGAAGAAGGACAAGACTTGATGGTTGCTTGGCATTTATCAAAGAAAAAAGACCCAAACAACCCAAATCAACCAGAAGAAGTATATCAAAGATATTATCATGTTTTTATTAAGGGAGAATTAGAACAAGTCATTGAAAAAGTAAAAGATTGCAAATTAGTGTCATGTGGGTATGAACGAGATAACTGGTATGCTATTATCGAAAAGATATAAATTAAAAAAAGGCTTTCTTATCTTCTGAATGAGTACATTTTTATTAACCTTTCATGATTGTGGATATTATTTATGTTGTCTTTTTTTCTGAGAGGATTTTAATATGAATAGAAAAAAAATAATATAAAAGACTGTTAAAAGATGAAAAGAAAAAAAGAGATGTAATGGAAAGAACACTGAAAGTGCTAAAAAATGAAGTCTTCAATTTTTTAGATAAAAAGAAACAAGTTGAAAATGAGTGGAAACAAATAAGTCAAGAACATCAATGTCTTAAGAATAAAATTGAGCAAAAAAAGAAAAATCTAATAGAACAACATGAAAAAGAATATCAAGCGAAAAAGAATTGGAACCAACAAATCCAATCAATATTAAAAAATTTTGAAGATGCAATGATATTAGCTGAAAAAACTGACCAAGAATTAAAACAGAAAAAGGAATCAATCCTGAAAATACTTCAAGCAATAAAGGATTTGAAAGAACAAACAAAGGTTCATGACACTATTGATTATAGTGAACTTGAACATCTAAAACAGAAAGAATTAATACTTACCCAACGGATTGAAGAACAAAAGGAACGGTTTAATGCACTATGTGCTGATTTAAAAAATACAGATGAAGAATTGCAAAATTGTCAAAAGAAGATTGAGACAATGCAAACACCCCAAGAATCAATTATTCCAACTGACCTACCGAAAAAAAGAGGAAGAAAGAAAAAGTAGACAACCGGTAAAGATGAACGAATGATTTTTTAGTTTAATATGTTAATTCAGTTGTTGTAAGAGAAGTCCTTGTTCAGACAAATCTACAACATCTTCATATGTTCCAATAAATTTATCGTTATGAAACAATAATGGAAATACCCCTCTTAATTCAGTTTTGGAAAACATAAATTTTTTAGCTTCAGGATCTTTATCAACACAGATAACTTTTACTTCTTTTTTAGTTAAAATTTCTATTAAATTTTTTAAGTGAATTGTATGTGTTCTCATTTCAAGACCACAAATACTTGATGAATAAATCATAGTTCCGCTCATTGATTAAAATTTTTTAGATCATTTTAAGACAAGTTTTGGTTTAATAGAAAAATAAATCTATAATAAGAAAAGGAAATAAATCATTTATTTTTTACCATAAAAGTTTGGCATATATTGTCCAAATCGTTCATAATAGAATTTATATTGTTCTCTGATTTTGTCTTCATCAAAATGATATAAACTTTCATCGTGTGGTTTTCTTCCATGTTTTCTTTGAGGATCTCCTTCTTTGATTGTAAGTTCTAATTGTTTCTCAGCTTCTGGAGTTATTTCAATGCCAAAATAGTCATAAATTTTCTTTACTGTTTCTTTTGGTTTTGTTACTGCTTCAATAAAACCAACATCAAAAAATTGTTTTGCTCTTGTTGGGTCTTGACGGATATACTCATCACGTGCTGCAATAGAATTTCTCAAAATAATTTCATTCACTTTGATTACATTTTCATTTAACCATACCATATCATCTTTACCTAAGTCATGTTCAAATCTTCCCTTAGCAACATTCATTAATATAACCATTGACTTAATTTGTTCAATTGGTTCTCTATGAATCCAAATAAATCTAGCATTATATTCTTTTCTTCCACATACATCTAACATAGGAGCCATTGTTGCAAAATGATTAACTCCTTTCAAACATAAATAACCGTCATCACCTTTTAATGGAAATTCAACTAAGTGCATTTTTAATTCATCCATAAGAGCTTCATAGACATAATGAAAATCAAGTTCGTATAAATGAACACGATATTGTTCCAATCTTGGAAGTGCGCCTGTCATAATGAAACATTGTCCAATCATTTCCATAAAGAAAGCCTCTTCTTCAAAACGATCCACACTATCAAGGTTATGTACTTTATTTATTTCTTTAGATTCTTCTTGAACTTGATTTAAAATATCTGTTATCATTTGTCTTCTTGCTTCTCTGTTCATAGTTTTACTTCCTGGGAAGAGATGTTCCCAAAAACGAATACCACTTGCACGAGGATCAGTAGATAATAAGTTATGAAGATAAGTTGAACCACTACGAGGTAAAGATACAATAAACATTGGATTTTTAATTTCAATTTTATCTAACTCATCTTTATACATTTTACGTTCTTCATAGAATCTCATTGCACTACATAATTTACCAACAATATTTCTGACTGTTTGTTTAAATATTGGTGCTTCAGGATTAAATAGTCCTGCAAAAAAGTCTCTAAGAATTATTTTGTATTGTGGGTCAAACAAGTTGTCTGCATCTAAGTATGCTTGTTGATAGATTGGTGCATGTTCTGGATCATACTTACTTAAATGAGCTACAGCCATTTTCTTTAAATTGTCATATAATTTATCAAATGCTTCTTGTGGCATTTCTGGCTGAAGGTATGGATTTTCTTTATTTAATTCATATTTGCGTGGGTAGTGAAAGTCTTTTAGAGGATAGTTTTCAACACTCATTTCAGTCAAAGTGAATTATATAGTTTATGTTCTTTTTCTGCTTCTTTTTAAATGGCGTTAGTTAGAATTTTCCAAAAGAAATTAAAATTCTTTAATATTCATTATTTATGAATTTATTACTTTTCTTTTCATTTTGATTCAATTTTTGTACAATTGATTTTTATTTTAATTATTTTATTTGTTGAATTATTGAACAAAAAACCGAATTTATTTAATTTTCTTTTCTTTTTTCAATTCTTTTTTTCTTCTATTTCATTTTCTTTCTTATTTAGTTTTTCATTTTATTATTTGTGTTATTGAAAATTTATTCGTATTTAATTATTATTCAAACAATATCCACTCATCCACATTAGTTTTTTTTTCAAATCTTTAAGAATTTTCCTCTTTGTTATTTATGAATTTGTTTCAAGTTGTTTTTATTAGTGTCACTTA